CACAGATGAAGAAAGTCTTGTGCAGTGATTATCGCGTTTCGTGAGCGGTATTGAGTTCGCCATGCTGAAATGTCATCAGAGTATTTACACTGCGATTATAAATCTATATCAAACTGAGAGAGGGCAATTTAATTCATGTCTGATCAATACATCTTGGATTTGGTACAAATGGAGTATGAACAGAGAGAGAGTGTGTGTGTGTGTGTGTGTGTGTGTGTGTGTGTGTGTGTGTTTTGAGAGGTGTGTGTGTGTGTGTGTGTGTGTGTGTGTGTGTGTGTGTGTGTGTGTGTGTGTGTGTGTGTGTGTGTGTGTGTGTGTGTGTGTGTGTGTGTGTGTGTGTGTGTGTGTGTGTGTGTGTGTGTGTGTGTGTGTGTGTGTTTTCAGCGATCGTCATGACGACCCCCTGATGGGACGTAATAGTGAAAATGCCTCCTGCTCCACCCAAACGGTCACGGCTGACTGGGCGAATAGTTCAGCCAATTAAATCCCATAATGAGCGGCAGCAGTTCAGGAAGTGTGAAATTGCAGTTGCTCTCATTCTGAGAAGAAGAAAGAGCCGCACTCGTTGGCTTATTGATCCCGTGTTTTATTTTATTTTATTATTTAATTTATTTATTTTTGGCGAGATGTTTGTTTGTTGAACGTACGAGCCCCTAATAGTTGTTTATTGGCTAAACGAACAGCGGCTGTTGAAGTTTTAGTTCACCCAGAAGCATTCTGTCATCATTTATTCTCCCTCATGTTGTTATAAATGCGTATGACTGATTTTCTTCAGTGGAAGTCAAACAGAGATGTTTTGAAGAATGTAGCGGCTGCTCTTTTCCATGTAGTGAATGGGAACCGGGTCTTTCAAGCCACAAAAAGATGCAAAAGCATGAAAAAAGTCATATAAATCAATTATGATTTAATATTGTACTCCATATTCCACAACAATACTGCAAGAGGAAACGGTCGAAATTTGAGTCATCTACCGAAAACATGTTTTTCCACTGTCTTTGGGAGTTCATGAGAGAATAATTGACTGGAATGATGGTGCTTTTTGAAGGCTTTCGGTTCACATCTATTATAATTACATGGAAAAGAGCGACTGGTGCATTATTCAAAATATTTCCTTTTGTTCCACAGACGAGAGTTGCTCAGTCAGGTTTAGAAAGACGAGTAAATGACAGGAATTTCCTACAACTTAATTTCAGCACATTTACATGTAAAATATCTCACTTGTTCTTTCTATGCAAATATTTAATACTGTATTAGACAAATATGCAACGAGAGAGTGATGTGTGTGTGTGTTCTTACAAGTATTGTTAATTTGCACTCTCTGTTCAACACTAATTAGCTACACTCATATGCATCATGGATATTCATAAGCTAGCATGCAGAGTGGACAATTAATTTGCATGCAGGTGATAATTACTAGATTTGGGTGACGCCCTCTTGAGAATTGTCCAATGCTGTCTTACTTCACGTCTGACAGAGGCGGTAAAAAGAGCCGTGTCGATGCTCTGTGTGTGTGCGTGTGTGGAACAATCCCATAATGCAATGGGACAAAAGCTGTTCAATTTCATTAACTGCAAAGTCATCAATGTGACGGTCGCACTGAACACACTCACACTTTAAGAAGGATCGGTGTGTGTGTGTGTGAACAGCAGACGCTAAACAGCTGCCGCTGTGCAAAGCTTGTGGGCATGACAAACACGAGCACGTGTGTGAACGCTGCCCTCTGACTGTCTGTCTCTAGAATGTCAGCCGTCCATTTCCTGATGAGCTGCTTCCACTTTTTTTTCCCTCAATAATATTTTTATATCTCACTATAATCAGAAAACAGACATTCATTTGGACACAAGCTTTTAGAGATCATTAAATTGAATGTGAACAAAACCTTGGATTGGAACTAAATATAAAGTTCCTTAACAAAATTCATTATTATTATTATTATTACTATTATTATTATTATTATTATTATTATTATTATATTTGTATTATGCATACAGGTACAATCAATTCAGCCTACATAATTTAGTTATAAGGAATCCATTTTTAATTAAAATAATGATTTAAAAGAAACTTATGACTATATTTCACTATATACATTTTCCAAGTGAATCAAAAACTGAAAGAAGTACATACAAATTATTCTGACTTAAACCAATCACCAAAGGAATTGCAAACCTGTCACAAATCTGAAGAATTCAAATAAAATGCATTTGCATTTGATACATTTAATTGAGTTTGCAGTCTTTTTATTTGAGCATAATCAGTGTTTATTTTGATCCTGAATGAATCGTTACGGTTTGGACGGCACACTGAAGGTGGTTCTGCTGACTAGATACGATTACTACACAAATGTAGTACTCAAATATTATTTAATAATTACTGGGAATGAAAAAATGAAATATGCTCATTCCCTATATGGTTGTCCTGTGTGGTTTGTTTATAACCACAATTAAAATAAATAAATAAATGCTTGAACGTTTATACCAGTCAAGACAGTTTGCATAGAATTATAATTTTTATTTATTAAATTTTTAAAAAGTAAAAATCTCATAAACTTGACTTTTTAGCCTGAAACTTCAAGACATCCTCCATAAAAGTCATCTGAACCTGACAACGTTTTCTTTTTAAATTCCATGTTGTTATAAAAAGCTATAATAAGTGCATACTTAGAGAGTCAGTCTGACCCTCTTCATCAAGATGTACACGTAAGCTACATAATGGTAAACATGCACTCATCCTCAAGAGTGCTTGCAGAGACGCCTGACCTCACTTTCACAGGCTACGAGAACCAAGATGACATGGGAACTTTTTAGGGTTACGTGGGACACGACTGAAATGGTCTCAAACAGGGCCATGTCTGTCTCAGAGACAGATATAGTTTGTGCTTTTATTAGACGAAGCTTCCCCAGTGTAACTGTACAGCAGACAGACTCACACCCTCAGCTGACGCCTACAGAGACGATCCCTCATTGAACAAGAACCTCGAGCGCTTCAGACGCTCTAAACGGGCACAATCCTGAATTTAGCACACAATTTTTAAGTACAACACAACATTTAATTAGCTTGAACCTTATCCTCCACACTGGGCGGCTCTTTTTCCCATCGTCTCCGTGGGTCGATCAGGAGGTTTGGGAAGCTCTAGACTCTCCCGCTCTCTCTCTTTCTATGATTATTCCTGTCATTTTCCCATCCGCTCCGGAACCACGCAGCACTGATTAAAGCCTGAAGCTGCAAACGAGCTGACAAGATTTGACTACCACAGCAAAACCTACAGACGTGCTAAAACACGTGACCACAGACTGAACACACTGAGCTCTGTGACACACAGACGCCTCGTCATTTCAGTCAAATCACCATACATGCAAATGAGGCGATCGCACAACATGCAAACAACAACCTGCCTGGCAGCCAAATGCAAATACTGATCTAACAATCATCTTCATAACACGCCGAACTAATTAAACATCACAATCACAACAGCAGAACAATGATGATACACAATGACCAGATAAAAGAACACTAATCACAAGATACGTGTTTAACATCCTCTCTGCACTTGTAGTGTGCTTCAAATCTTAAATGTATATTCCTAAAAAACTGTACTTGCAGATAATATGTGACCCTGGAGCACAAAAGCAGTCATAAGTCGCTGGGGTATATTTGTAGCAATAGCCAACAATACATCGTATGGGTCACAATTATCCAATTTTCTTCTATGCCAAAAATCATTAGGATATTAAGTAAAGATCGTGTTCCGTGAAGATATTTTGTAAATGTCCTACTGTAAATATATCAAAACTTAATTTTTGATTAGTAATATGCATTGCTAAGAACTTCATTTGGACAACTTTAAAGATGATTTTCTCAATATTTAGATTTTTTTGCACCCTCAGATTAAGCACACTTTTAAAAAGTACATTTTGTAATAATGGCAAATTAAACATTTTATTTTAAATAAATATGTTTTAATCATCTTTTATATAGTCTCTTATATTTGAGTTGATCTTAAATGCACATTCAGCAGTACTTTAACCATATTTCAAAGACAAGAGTAATACATATAAAGATGTACTTAAGTTCTACTTAAGTGGGTCAAAAACACTAAAGTTCAGCTCAATTTATATTGAATATAAATCCAAACTATATAACATTTTAATTTAAACGCAATTAATATGCAATTGTCTAAAAACATTACATTCAGTTCACACTTAAGTGTCTAATTTAAAGTGTTTAAAGTCTATTATTTCTGCCATAAGCATGCTCAAGTGCACTTCTTTTCCACATACAGTAGGTGACCTGTGCATGTTGTTGGTCTGAGTATCGTCATGTCTCTCCTCTTGTGAAATTGGTAAATATTAGTGCTGTCAAACGATTGATCGCGATTAATCGCATCCAAAATAAAAGTTTTTGTTTACGTAGTATATGTGTGTGTACTGTGTATATTTATTATGTATATATAAATACACACACATACACTATATATTTTGAAAATATTTACATGCATTTACATGCATATATGTACATTCATATAATTTATATTATATATACATATTTTAATATATAAACGTAACATATTTTTCTTAAATATATACATGCATGTGTGTGTATTTATATATGCATAATAAATATACACAGCACACACATATATTATGTAAACAAAAACTTGTATTTTGGATGCGATTAATCGCGATTAATTGTTTGACAGCACTAGCAAATAATAGTAAATATAAACACTAATTGAAGGGTCTTCAAATGTTTTGTTTTAAATCAGTTTTAGCCGTGGTTTATTGTGTGTGGAGCTGCGGTGTGTGTTCATCTAGTCCTGTAATGCACATCGGTGCTTGTTATTTTCCAGCATCTTTTTTTGATTTTTGCACCTTGACTGTAAAGCTTTTAGGTTTGACAGGATCGTCAGGCCGCTCTACAGACTCTGGAGATTCTGCGTCACGATCAGCTGTGTTCGGTTCAGATGGAGACAGAGAGCAGGCAGTTAAAGTGAGACTTACACTCGGCGCTGGAGAGCAGGACCGAGGCGGTGAGCAGCAGGAGACAGTGTCGGACGGAGGGTAACGCTACACAGACGCTTGGCACAGGCATGATGTTACGACTCACCCGCGGAGTGTGCCAGCTCACAACGCTCCTGCAACGCTCTCACAACCTGCAGAGACACACAGCAATCAGTCCATCAGAACACAGAGTAATCATCAACAAACGGCTTTGCTTTTTAAAGCACAACACGACAGGTCTTTTCATGCACTGCTCAGTTTTGAGGTCTGTTTTGCTCCAAGAAAGAAATAAAAGGGAAAGAAATAAACCAGAACACACATTTAAGCGTTTATTGTGACTCTGGAGCACAAAAGCAGTCTTAAGTCGCTGGGGTATATTTGTAGCAATAGCCAACAATATATTGTATGAGTCAAAATTATTGATTTTTCTTTTATGCCAAAAATCATTAGGATATTAAGTAAAGATCATGTTCTGTGAAGATATCTTGTAAATTTACGACTGTAAATATATCAAAACTTAATTTTTGATTAGTAATATGCATATAGATCTCAATTTTGAAAAATGGACCCTTGTGACTGATCTTGTGCTCCAGGGTCACATTTGTTGCACTTACAAATATGTGTCTACAGGTTTCAGTTTCAATACATGCTCTTAAAGAGTTTGTTTCTCCAATTTAGTATCACTTACATACACCAAAACATACAGTTTTATTCCTCTCTATATTCTGAAGGTTTTTACTAAGGGGTTTGTTCATATATCATTCACAAGTGAATTACAGAACATTTAATTACTAAAAACAAGGTGAAAATGCATATTATTCCCCATATTTTCTGATTTATGGAGGGATTCAAAGAAAAATCCTCTGGAAAAATATTTAACTCTAATATGTCAACAAAATCAAATGAGAATTTTGAAGCCTTTATCCAATGGTCAGAAAAGTCCATGCAGTAAATTGGTGATTAATTAGATAATGCACAATTTGCATTTTTAAATGTACAATTTCAGAAAACTTGTAATGCAGTGCAATGTCGTAATGCACTGTGATTAGATCAGCTGTGGAAGTGTGGTGAAATCATTTTTTTTACCCTGTTCATTGTAGTGTTTTGCCTTAATAAGCTTTTGACTTGGGAATCAATAAGTGCTGAGCGCTGTGTTAAACACACACACACGCACACACACTTGCACACTCACACACGCACACGCACACGCACACACACGCACACGCTCACACTCACACACACGCTCACACGCGCACGCGCACGCGCACACGCACACTCACACACGCTCACACGCGCACACTC